GATGGATGGTGTCCTTAGATCCTTAGAATGCTATGAAATTGATAGGAAATCAGGAATCAATTTTGATAGATTCTTCCTGAAGGATTTCTAATCAGTAAATGATTTCTCTTCAAGAAATATCTGATACTTTACCATGCCAACAATTTTAGGTATTCCAAAAAAAAAATTAAGAAAAATTATTTGCAAAATACTTCGCTTCAACATTAGAAATGCGATATAATAATATTAAATGAAATTCATTAATTAGTTAAATTTTAAATAATTTATCTAAAGTTACTTTATTCTACTGGAAAATAAATCCCAGTTATTTAAATATATACTTTTACATATCGCTGGCTCGATCAAATACCAGAATGGTTGAAAAATCGTCTTGTATTGATTAATTTTGTACCGCGCATAGCGGAATTCCAATCCTTTTATAAATGATGATGATGATGATGATGATGATGATGATGATGATGATGATGATGATGATGATGATGATGACGATAATGATGACGATAATGATGATGATGATGATTGTTGAAGATCAGAATTTATCATAGAAATTTCTTGTTTGCTGGAGAAATTGCACAATTTTCTATGATGATAAATCCATAAAAGAATAATAATGATTAAAGTCCAAATTGCAAGAAATTTTCCTCGTATCATTTACGGATCCGGAAATGACCTGAAGTATCATATATGAACTCCTGTTAAAATAATGGCTTTTATTACTTAACAAGTACTTATCATTTGTCCTTTAATGAGCTGTGACCAGTTTTCCGGTAGCATATCAGAATGATCTTCCGGTATGGAATGAGATATATATCCAAAATTTACCAATTCAAATTTGATCCAATATTTAATAACTCTTAACAAAGGTACTATTCAAAGTTATTGGTGTTCCTCATTATCATCCTTTAATTTCCCTTAATTTTTTATCATTTCTTAATTGGAATTTCTATACCAATTTATTCTTTTAAACAATATCTGAATAGGTATGTAACAAAATTAGCAACTAATTCAATAATCTCTTCAACCTGATGAGGTAACTTCTTGCAGTAACAATTACATAAATGGCATTTATGCAAAATGTTTGATTGAAAAAAAAAGGCTTAAAATGCAAGAATTGTTGACGCATCTTTGTGTCATCTTTGTGTTTTAGAAATGAAATAACAAATGGTATGAATGAACGGAATGAGGACAATTTTAACTTTTTAAAGTAGTGACAAACCAAAAAATTTTTTGACATATTTTTTAGATATTAGTAAATTAATTGGTAAAGTGATATAAAGGATCTCAGATCGATTCTGGATCTCAGATCGATTGAGATACAGTTAAAGTTTAACGAAAAGAATTATAGACCGATGGGATTCATGCGGTCTAATGAAAGGATGAAGGATTAAAACTATAAATCAATACTAAATTATAGATTTAATAAGGATATATGGAATAAATCTAAAAGTAGAGAAGATTATAATCCAATATTTCATTAACAGCAGGTCAAAGGTGAAAGAGTTTATATAGAAAATAATTTTCCATCTTCAACAATCATTTCTGCATATTCTGCATGTTATTGAAAAAAGTATTTAGAGTGAAATATTTGAATGATACACTTTTGAATAGAGAGAAAATTAAGGTAGAAAACAGAATCGTCGTCTGATAAGTAGTATTGAAATTCCTGGATGATAAGTGAGAAATTAAAATTTTGATAAATTGAAGAAATTGCTTCTATCATTGAGAATTGATAAATTCCACTTATCAGTCTAGTTATGCATATGAGAAAGTAAGTGACCACTTGAGGAAGTAATGAATTGGGGATAAAGTATATAATTTTGCAATGAGACAGAAACTTTACTTAAAATCATAAGTTGAATTTGTGAATAAGGGCAAAGGTTAAAAGTCATCGGCATAAGATAAACACTGCTAATTACTTTGACCAGATAGATATGTTTCATTAAAAATGCTGGGGATATTATGTCACTGAAGAATAGCCTTTTATTAAATCTCATTTTGTACTAAGGCATTTACTTTCAAGCATATTCCCCTTTCTCATAATTAAAGTTAATTACCAACCGGTTTTTTTTTATTTTTTTTTACGTGTCTTGAAGTAAATCTTTTCATATCATGCTATATTATAGAAATGGAAGAAATAAGAAAAAAAAGTTTATTAAAAGCTTACAAAGAAAAAAAAACAAGAAAAGAACAAAAGGAAATAAAATCCGAATTAAGACCGGATTTGAGTTGCTTATCCGGTTGGAGATATTTGCATAGCTATTTGTCGCTCCATAAATAATCTCTTCTCGGTGGTATAAATAGCTACCGTATAAGCGACAGTTATTACTAATATCGTTGTGACACTCATCAATATCAATACTTTTCCCACTACAAATTTTCATTACTTTCAACAAACAAAAAGCAATCAGAATCTGAAAACTTAAACTTATTTAATTATAAATTCATTTCCTACTTACTGTTCAAGATTTATTTTACGATTTTAAAGTTGCAATTAAACTCAAAGATGTGTTCAATTTGAAACTCAATGATTAACATTTGATGATAATGTAACATATTTTCCGATAGTCCTTCCTGATCATATTTTATTTTTCGGTAAACTTTCCTGGTCATATTTTATTTATCAATTTTGAGTTGATTAAAATTTTTGAAATGATAGTTTTAAAGACCTAATCAAAAGTAAAACTACAATATATATATAATCTGATTCGGTAAATTTTCACTTACAACTTCAATGCTTATTATGTTCACAATGATACTTCCATGATCACAAGTTACAATCATATTTTGATATTGGAAGTTAAATTTAGAGTTTAGAAAGATAAGTTATGCAATTAAACTGCAACTTACTTGGAGTAATTGAGGAATTTTTCGTATCTGATATCACCTAAAATATGTCACTTTTATATATTATAATTGAGAAATAAATGTTTAATTAATGAGATTATCAATAATAATTAATTAGAATAAATGCATGTGTAATTAATGAGTTAATTCAAGATGAGCTTTTAAGGAATACATTTGTTCTTCATATTTATTTTATCAAATATGGGGAAGAATATTTCCTGATAATCACATCCCGAGATCATTTGTTGTTTTGTATTCCTGTTTGTTTATTTGAAGCTCACCTGACTCTTTCTTTTAATTGAATCGATTTTTTTTTATTTTTTGGAGAAAGAAAATTTAAAGAACTGCACGAAAAATTTAGAAAGTTCATGCCATAATTGTCGCATTTCCGTTGCTTGTGATATTACTAAAAGATTCGCCATCTATCCGGTTGGACCCATTTATCCGGTTGGGTCCATCTGCTCGATTGGACAATACTTCATCGTTTCCTGAAGACATTTTGTATCAAACTAATTGTAGCTATCAGACTTATTTCAAAGGAAGAAATTCAAATTAATTTATGAAGTGATGTTATCAGAAATTTATCATAAAAAATATATCTCATTACAATGGATTGATTCTGCCATGAAAATAAATAGTGCACTGATAAGAGCTTAAGCTTAAGAAGTCTATCGGTGTCTTTTTACAGTGTTATTAAATTTAGTTCCTGTGGTGGTACGGTATTGTTTACTATGACAGTTCAAATTATAATTTTATCTTGAAATGCTATTCCATTCAAATACATTTAAATGAATAAATAGTAATAATACTAATGCTACTTCTTTTCAGCAATTATATTAATTAAAACAATATAATCCAAATGAACAAAATATAAATAGCTATTTGAAGCTATTTATTAAGGCTATTCGTTTTTTTTCCGCTTCCTTTCATGTTGCAATTTCCGCCACAGAATTAAAAGGATATTATTGTGTTGTTTTTGTTTGGTTTTATAATAAATGTTTGCATTTGTCATTATCAAATGCCAAAATTCTAATTCATTTGATTTTAATTTTACTTTCTTTATGGTACCATTGCTAGATCCTTCTAAAAATTACCCCCCCCCCCCAAAAAAAAAGTACCTACAAATTAATTGCAATGTAAATTAACATTTTTGTTCATGTGACCGAGCAAAAATAATAAACGTTTAAAAAATATGTTCGCTGAAATATTTCCTAAAATTTCTAAATAATAGTTTTCTCTCGAAGCTTTTCCAGAAATATCCCGATAGTATCAATCTAGGATCAATCACTCAAACCAAACCTTTAACAATTGATCGAACTAAATGAGTTTTCGTTTTGAAGAAAAGAAGTGCGCATGTCACAACCGCTTGTTGCCACATTTTATAAAGCAAATTGATGTATTATCATCCATCTATTAATACAACGCTTGAAAAATTGGGAATAATTTGCATAGAGGAAGGTAAGTGTCAAGCAATTGCTATTGTCATTCATTAAGTGACAATATTGCAATGACATTCATCCATGTCGTTCAATTGACAATTTGAGAAAAGATTTAAAAAAGTCAAGAAGATGTCAATTATATGAAAAATAGTCAGAAAAGGTCAAGAATGTATCTAACTTACATTAACTTTGACCTCTCCTAAATAGCAATAAATTCATACAATAATCGTATAAACCTAATTAACAATTTAGGAAATTTCTGCTTAGCTTGCAATTTTTTTGTCAACTTCGTTAATGATCAGTGATGACAACTAATCCTTTTGCAATGACAAAAATTGAAACGGAAAGGAATGTTGCATAAATTATTATGACAATAAGTGGATTAGTTTTATTGTATCAAATACTGAATTAACATAATAGAAAAATGTATGTTGGCTTGGATTGTCAACTGATGTTTGCTGTGTTTCTCAACTTAAAAAGTACTAAGATGACATAAAAATGATGTGTCAAACTTTCTCCTAGTCTTTGAATATAACAAAAAGGTTGACAATATCAATGACCTTAAATGGCAGAATTGTGTATTTTGTCAAATGGATGCAATTTTAAGTTTCAATTTAATTTACGCCATACATATAAATTTGTGCTGGAGTGAGAAGTAAGGGTGAAGGGTGAAAGTGCACAGATGAAACTTTTGATAGACATTGAGTGATTGTAATCGAACATTGTCACCAATATGGCGACATCTTTTTGTGCGTCTTTTTTTAAAGCGCACAGCGACATCTTTTTGTGCGTCTTTTTT